TTCAGCTCTCTTCCATCTTTTTTATTATTTATAGCAAATTGTCTTATATTTCAGGCATTCTGTTGGCTTTGGATTTAAGAAAAAAATAAGATCAGGCTTTTTTATTGATAAATTATAAAAATCATATTTAGATCTCTTCTACTTAGATTTTTGCATTATTTGGTAATTATAGAAATTATGTAAAGTTACTGATTTATTCACAAATATGAATTATTTCCATTTATTCTCAATATGTTTGTAAAAAAAATGTAATTTACACTAAGCATTCACACAACATAATTTTTTCCAAAATTATTCAATTTTTCATACAGTTATTCCCTTAAATTCTTCTCAACTGTTCATAAAACTGTTCATAATTTCCCAAAGAAATGGTTATGGACCACAAATAGTAGCAAAGCAGACTGGAAATGCTTCTAAGAGACAAGAGCACCAATCAAAGCCAAGATACTATATGTGGTCCATAGCCACATCTCCATAGACATTATCATGCTCATTAACACTTGCACTGCAGATTCTTGGTGAGCTTCATGGTAGACGCCCGGGGTGGGGCCATGCGCGGCTGCCGCCACTCGGGTGTCCGTGTGATTATTCCTCCACGCAAAGCAGCTATGCCCATGAGGATCACTTGCCGTTATCTGAAGAAGGATAAACTTGTTCACGCACCACCACTCATGGAGGGAGAAGCACTTGGTTCCAGAATCCTTGAAATGGGTCCTGCAGGTGCAAAATTCTTAGGGTAAGTTTTTTTCTCTCTCTCTCTCTCACTCTCTCTCTCTCTCTCTCTCTCTCTCTCTCTCTCTCTCTCTCTTCCTCATTAATCCCATATGGCAATAAATGAAATTTACACTATGATTGTAAACTAATTTCTATTTCTATCTGCAGCCCTGTTATTATCGAGGTGCCACACTTTGCCTCCCTGCGTGGCAAGGAGCGTGAGATTGTGATCCTTCGCTCAGACAATGGAGAGACCTGGCGTGAACATACACTGGAGGCCACTGAGGAAGCTGTGCAGGAGGTCTTGAACGAGAGCTTCGATGGTGAAGGTTAGTGATTGAATACTTCCATATTGATATGATGATAGTTTTGGTAAGATAAGATTTCAAGTAAAAGCCTTTACTGATGCATATGTGATTTTTGTTGTATTTTGAAGAACTCGAGTGATGTCGCTTGGTAGATTTAAGACTACCATTTACCAAATTCTGTTTTGCAGTAAAACTTCAAAAATATGATATTCTTCATTGTTAACATCTAGTTTTGGTAGTGAATCGAATTTATTCTTATTTTTACTTTTGCAGAGTTGAAGCAACTAGAGGACCTCAATACCAACCGCATCACACGCATCCTCACAACTGACTTCCCACAGTACTTCGCTATTGTTACACGCATCCGACAAGAGGTCAGTTGTTACTTGTGAGCTTGGTCTCATTAACCCATTGATGTATTTAATGTTGATATTCATTTCCAATATCCTAGAAGCACTGGCTGTTAATAGGTAAATTTGGTAAATGTTATGCATACTGTAAATAGAATTTTCATTATTATTGTTGTAATGTTCTTGTAATATTGCTGCCCTCTTTATCTTTGGTATTTTGTTTAATTTTTTTTCTAGGTCCATGCCATCGGACCTGAGGGAGGAATGGTGTCATCAACAGTTGTACCACAGGTCCAGGCAGTGTTCCCCCAGGGAGCCCTCACCAAGAAGATCAAAGTGGGACTCCAGGTAAACCTCTTCAAGCCACGCAAAAACCACACTGGACCCATGAAAAAGATTAGCGTGAATAACATCCCAAAGAAGAAGCGATTTAGTCTTATTTGGTGAAGTAGTAGCTGTTGAAACAGGTTGAGAAGGATCAGGGAAATACTCAATATATCTTTTCATTTCATATAATCTCTTTCTTTTCTTTTTTTTTTCTCTTTATTAATTTATAGGATTTTAGTAATTTGCAAAAAGTTGAAGGAGAAAAGTATTAGAAGATATTAGGAAAATGCAAAAATGACTCTACCAGTTTTCAATACTAAGAAAAGATTTTTTTTTTTTCTTTTTTTTATAGTCTGCTAGTCATAGACAGAGTTTAAAAGTAATATGGGATGATTTACCAAATTAAAAGCTTTTCGTAGAATCTCTTTTTGATCAAGAAGTTAAAGAATACTTTGTGTATTCCAAAACCCAAATTAATAGACAGGTGTTATCACTTACAGTAAATAGAGACATTTTTTTTTACACATGTTCACACATACACACACACACACATATGCATATACACATACACATGCGCATAAAGAACAGGCAAACAGACATGCATAATTAAAAGGAGAAAATCTCAGATACATTGTTTGGTGTACGTTTATAGGATGTAATTTATCAATTTTCTTCCCCGTTTTCTTTTTTTTATGATTTGTTCCCAATCAAAGAACTAGTTATGTTTTTGTTTATTATAGCTCTCAATCTTTATTTTCATTTTGGAGTTATCTCTCCGTATGTGTATACTACTTTTCTGTAGCTCATGTGTTTTACAAAAGTTGATTTCAACATTCAGAATATTTTAAAAACTTTAGTGCCTGCCGTGAAAATTGGAGTCATCGTCAAACATCACGTAATGTACATTCCTACAGTGGAGTCCAATGTGGGGCACAAGTTCAATACTGCATGATGGCAATACCATTGGATCACTGCCTTTGTTTGAACAACACTGCTCTCTTCATTTTTGTTTTGTTTTTAATTGCATGCTGGATAATTTGCATGGGTATTATTTTTATAGTGTTGCTTATTTATTGTTTTATGCCTTAATCCTTTGTTCCTTCAGTTTTTCTTTCATATTTTCTCCTTTTTTTTAAAGAGTTTGGGTTTATTAAACTGGAAACAAACACTAGTCAGTTCTAGTCAGTAAATTAGTTAATATGACACACATTAGCTCTAGGATAAAGAAGACTTTAGATGGCAAGTTACACAAGGAACTGCTTATAAAAGAAGGTAAACAAATGACTCAGATTGAAAGAAAAATGTCCCAGGTAATGTATAGGGAAGAACCCATGACCGATGTGAACCCTAGTAAGTCTCTCAAGATTTTGCACGCCCAAGGATTAGAATAAGTAGTGCCTAGACTATGAAAGCTAAATGATAGATTTAGGATTCTTTCTTGCTGGTCAGTTCACCATACTATAGAGGCTGTAGTAAATGCCAGACTCCATTTCTCATTGCTGGTTCCCACTTGTTTCCCATAAGAAAACAGATCAGCTAATGAACAGTCATGAAATATATTTCAGTATTGTGTCCTTTTCATTGATTTTAAGAACTTAAAGGGGACTGAAGCTCAGAATAGTCAAAACAGAAATGTTCTTTCTGCAGACATATAGAAGAATGAAACACATTATTCTGGAATTAATATTTTCTAAAATTGCCTCTCATGCACAACTTTTGCCATGGTTGTTGAACTAATATTCACTAATAGACCAATAACTTCCAAAATGCCTTACTTCATATCTATGGTTTCCCTTCTGAAAGCATCTAAAAGAAAAACCAGAAGTTCCCTCTCACTTGAATGTAAGGCAGAGAATATATAATAGATATTCCCTTAGTAATCTGTGGGACCAATTTTGCACATTTGCAAAGCTTCTGAGTGTCATGAGGTTCTAGTGAGAATATCATGCAGATACAAAGTTCAAAAAAAGCACTTTTGTACATAAATGCACATGCACATGCATATGTACACATTACCACTCAGATATGCTAATAAATTTCATCCACTTATTGTGCTTAACTTTTGCAGTCATACTAAATGTTCTTTGTCTTTTTTAACCTTGTGAGTAGAGTACTTAATGGTGATTGATAAAACAGTACTAAGACCTCTATAGTTTGGAGAAAAGGCTTCTGATCACTTTCATTCCTTCTATGGAGCAGAAAGAATGTAAGGAATAACATTTTATATCTTGAAAGGATATTACATTTTTTACCCTAGCTGGATGATTTATTCAAATATTCATTTTCTCCAGCTTTCATAGCATTTATATAGTGATGACTTCAAAAGAATAGTCCTCTGTTACTGAAATTAAGTTAATTTGTAATTTAAATTTTCTAATCCATTGCATCATGGTAGGATAATTGCCAAGTGAAAAAATGGGAAATTAACTAATGGAATATATTACTGTTCGACAAATCAGTTCATTAGATGTTAATGATTGAAGAAACTATTCCAATCCATACCATAGGGATCCCAAATGCTATGAGACCAGTGACTTCAGGCCTTAGAATCAGCTTCAGTAAGGTTCACTCTCCTAGCTATGGATGTAAAGTTAAGCCTTATTGTAATAGCCTAAGGTCAGAGCCACTGGTGGTGTCACTTATATATATATATATTGCCTTTTAAAGAGGATTATTTTTATATGTAGACATGACACCTATGCCATATACTGTAGAGGTTTTTATGTGTTTAGAGACAAATTGTGATTATCAAAGAGTGTAATATGTACATTTTGCTTATACAAAAAACAAAATTGCTAGTTGATTATATACTTAAGATAGCCTATGATATATGATAGTAGGTTATGATGATGTATCTTATTGTAGTGTAAAACTTAGTTGCCATTTTAATTCAAATGTTTGATTGATAGTGATCGTATCTCATGATATTTATTTATCTCGTGTTCTAAGAATAGTGAATCTCAAAAGACAAATTACGATAGAAATCATGCTCAAGAGCGAAGTTGCTTAGGTCACCAGCATTTTCTCTACACCATCACAGAATGATTAGTAAAGCAGATCTGTGGACAGTAATAGGAAGTTAATACTCAAATGAAAGTGTAAAAACATGAAAAGTAAGATTTGTGATTATTGTGTCAGCAGGAGACTGTTATTACTGTCTGCAGGACTAACACCATTTTAGTTTAGAAGCCAACATCTTGTTATCTTCATTTCTTCTAACAGCACATGCCAGTGAATGGATTACACCAGCCTATTGTTTCATTGAGGCCAATTTTGTCATAGCCTCACTTCTTCAGATACT